TGTTAGAGTGATGCGTGTGGGATATCCAGGGTGATCCAGTGCATGTGAACAGTGAGATGTTTGGGCGCTGAAGTCGCCATAGCCATTTGAGAGTGAACTCGTATCTGAAGCCATATCTCTGAGTTTTGAGTGGGCGCATGTCGCCAGTGTGCTGCGTACTGTTTACATGTGTGAAAAGTGTGTTTGAAAGCGAGTCTGATTGCAGTTGCATCCGCATTCGATTGGAACGACCTGCGATGGTTCCCCAAGCACGTCGATTCCCCTCATCACCTCGAGCCCATTATCTCCACTACCTCACTGTCGCCACCACCATTGTCAGTTGGAGGTTGTCCTCATCCCCTCACCGCCATCACCTAGCTACCCTCCGCCTTGCCACAGCCATTCCTGCGGGAATGTAATCTTCTTTACGTCTTCTTATTCTTCTCCATCACCCTCCATCACCTGTCAGCGCCACAGAGCACCTTAACATTGGGAGGCAGAGAGAGAGAGAGAGAGAACCTTCTTCTTCATCATCATCTTCTTTCTTCTTCTTCTTCTTCTTCTTCTTCTTCTTCTCCATCCCCCTCCATCTCCTGTCCACCCCGCCTGACGCTTTCATGATGAGAGGGAGAGTGAAACTTCTTATTCTTCGCCATCTTCTTCTTCTAGTGCCCCTCCTCGCCTTTTTTTTGGGTCCCCAATCGTACTCGCCATCTCTCCACCCACCTCCTCCCCCAGCTATCCTCCCACTTTCTCGCTCGTTGTCTGCATCCACAGCATCCACTTCCTCGCCCATATCTCCACCCATCTCCTCCCCCGTCTCTCTGCAACTTCTCCACAACAACCAATATCTTCTTCTTCTTCTTTGCAATGACCTCCTGAATTCACATTGCTTCTCACAACATCACATGTTCACACTTCATGGAGGAGAAGCTACCTACATACACCAACTGCAAACCAACACTATGAGAACACTTAGGAAATTTCTTGAAAATAAAGTATTGTGCAACAAGGTCTTATGCATATACACTCAGGCGGCAGGCCACTCAAACAACCAATATCGTTTTTGTCTTCTTTGTAATGATCTCTTGAATTCACACTGCTTCTCGCTACGTCACAAGCTCACACTTCTTACATATGTGCGCTCGGGAAGCAGGTCATTCAAACAGGTATGTGTATCTCTCTACTCTAAGCTACTTTCCAACCTCACTCTCTCTCCCTCTCTGAATTTCTTCTTTCTCACTTGGTGCCTCTCTTGCTCACTGCAGGGCTATGGTGCCGGCACCCATGGACTACTGCATACTTCCGGCCTCTCTCAATGCTGGAACACCCAAGACCACTACAGCACTTCCACGACAGGCTCAAATGGAACACTTCCAGGAGACGTCCCCAGGACGGTGCTGAGTTATTGTGCTGAACTGACTGGGCCTAACCGGCCCTAATGGCGTGCCACACCTGTCGGGCCTACTGGAAAAAACGAGCCTGCAAGGCCTGTTGGAGCTACCATGCAGACAGCCTACCAGTTTGTACCATCTTGGCTGGGTGAGCTGAGCAGACACTGGCAGACAGTGGTTACAGGCACCAGGGCTGCGCAGGAAACCCACTCGGCCCTAGTTGAAGCAAAGAGCCCTGCCGTACGGCACTTTGGGCGCTAGGTGTAGGCATTCACCCTACCAACCCCATGGTAGACCCTTAATGCCCCCCGAACTTACCCAGGATCCCCAGTGTGTGGATCTAGTCGTGCACACCCTAGATATCATTTGCACCAACTGAACTTGCACAGGGGAGGTTGAGGCCAACAGAATCAAGCCCAGCGTGGTAGCTCAGTGGATTAGAGCTGGAGGTTGAGGCCAACAGAATCGAGCCCAGCGTGGTAGCTCAGTGGATTAGAGCTCTGGTGTTGCATCAGGGATAATGTGGATAAAGTTCGACATACATCCTCAGGCCCGTGGTACCTACTAAACATAAACCTACTGATTCACTTGATTGTGTCTACAAGAAATTGCAGGTTCGCAGCCCTACTACCATCAACTAGAGTCACCCCCCGAATAGAACGCATGGTCATTATCGCTGTATGTAGACTGAAGATTGCCCCAAATATAGCTAGAATGACCGACTCACAAATGATATGAAAGAGTTCATAGTATTATGCACGCAATTGTGTCATTAGTATGGATAGACACATATCCTCACACCACTGGCAGAAATTTGGCAGAAAACAGAGTGCAGTTACCAGAAATTTGACAGAAAAATTGAGAAAATATAAAAACCCCTGACTCAGACCTCTTGACATGTGGTAAGCCGATTAGTAATGCCCAAACAAAGTCGAACAAACAGATCTTCCCAAACACTGCATTTTGCACTGACCGTCAATTTGGCCGTTGCCTTCACAGGTTTCAGAATGTACATGCACTTTTGCCTTCTGCTTCCCGCAAAATCATGCTTACGCTCAACTCCACCCCACCAACGAGGGCTTGCATCCCCACTTGTGCTGCAACTCTTGGATGTGTTGTACCTGTCATCAGCAACCAAGTCCCCCATCTGATCCCTATACAGGCTCTCACCCACTCTTTCCTCCTCTGCTTCCTCTTCCTCTTCATCTTGAGCTGCCTCCATCTGATTGTTGCCAAGATCTCCCACCTCCTCATCATTGGGGTCCCAATACAATGACACTCCAGATACCTCGATTAGCTTGTGCACCAGGTTCCCCTTCTGACGTTTCCCATTCAAAACCCTGCAAACACAGGAACAGAGTGCAAATAAGGACATGGAGAGAGAGAGAGAGAGAGAGAGAGAGAAAGAGAGAGAGAGAGAGAGAGAGAGAGAGAGAGAGAGAGAGAGAGAGAGAGAGAGAGAGAGAGAGAGAGAGAGAGAGAGAGAGAGAGAGAGTTATCACAGGATCGTAAACCCTTCCACAACACAAGGTCCCATGACTGTATACTAAGACCAAAGGCTGGTATAGTATCTGCCGACACCACAAACGGCATTTTGCTTTCATAGCAAGAATTATGCATGCCCATAAAGCAGCAGCCATAGAAGGAAATTGGGCGCAAACCAATTGCTATCTCCACAAAGGTGTTGATGCAATCGAGTTATCCAGGCAATTTAACAGAGGACCTCAGAGGACAACGGAGGAAAGAAGTACTCTGACGGGAGTTTCATCGCAACTCGCTGGTTAGAGGTTTAACAACCGACTCTTATCCCTGGTAGCTCTTGAGAAGTTCAGCAAAGCTAAGAGACAGAGGCATCGGGTAGAGAATATGTGACTTCTGGCTGAGTAGTGCGCGCATATAACCGTTGACAAACAGATCATATGTATCAGATCCTGATGGATACAATAACGTCATCCTCAGTCCAATTCACACAAAAAGAGACAGGGATAGAGAGAGCGAGGTGGTAAACCAGTCCTCTCATCAGACTACTTCTCGATTTGTGTGTGTCATCCTCCCCCAGTGAACATGCTAGTCTTCTCCGTATCGTTCCAATTTAAACGGATGTGTCGAAGGACTCATCAAAGTGCACTTCTAACCTTGGTTCTTTCCAAACCCTGCGAACCACTTTCAGAAATTCTTTACCAAATTTAAGATGAGTCGGTGAAAGTCCAACAAAATAGTCTCGATACAATCATTCCTTTTTTGTGGATCTGTGTACAGCAGACATTGGAAAACACGCACACACACACACACACACACACACACACACACACACACACACACACACACACACACACACACATATGCAAGATTAGTGTGAGTAAAGTCGACCACTTTTCTCAGGGGTATCGCTAACTCTGAATGATGTGGTGAGTCCTTATCCATCAGTCAAATGCATCCTGGGCAGACTGTCGGGGTTCAACCTCCTGCCGACTGTGTGATGAGTTGGTGAAAGCCCGACGAAACATCTGGCACAGTCATGCTTTTTAGTGTATAGTGAATAACACACACACACACACACACACACACACACACACACACACACACACACACACACACACACAATTAAACCCCCGTAAACACCTTTAGATCCCCTTTATAGCTTTCATATGCCATGCGAGACCCCCAGAAACTTTTCAAAAATATGGACCCGGGCTGTCATTGGCACGTGCAACATAGCCACACTGATCCCAAAATGCCAAGACCCCCCCCTTTTTACCTTTGGCAGCTTGTATAGCTTTCCAGACAGGTTGCCTGGGACTTGTCCAGCCCCGACAACCGGCCACACATCATGCCTGAACTGCCTGGCTACATGGGCATTAAGCCTATTCTGAGAAGTCTCACAACTGAGCAGAAAAGTCACTCGATAAACAAAAACGGGAAAGCTGGTCATAAAAAAGAACTGAAACAGAAGGTTTATGGCTGCATGCTACTAACCCAGAGGACGATGATGCTAAAGATGCCTTCCCCCTGGCATCTGTCGTATTCACTGTCAATTCCGTAAGCTTCAATCCGAAGCAGAAGCGGCTCTGCAACCAAGGAGCAGCAGGGTATCATTCGCACCACCAAAACCCTTTTCTTTTTTTCTTTTTTCACCACCAAAATCCTCACTTCCTTTTTCCTTTCTTTTTTTGTTTGGAACAGGTCTCCACCACCAAAATCGTCACATTTTTCTGTGATGGGCCAATTTCTAAGAAAACAGATGTGGCGGAAAAAAAAAAAAAAAGCGACATAATTTGCTACCTCATTGCACCTGGAATTCCGTGACAGTCATCATGTCAGCCTCAAGCACCCGACTGCTCCACGGCTGCACATGACTGCACCTGGACACCCACATGGCTACATGCATACCTGCATACTGCAGGCACATGCAGCTGTCCATGTATGTTTTGACACGGGCAATCCGGGACATCGGTCGCAACTTAGGCACAGAATTACCCCGTTCACAATGCACCTGCACACCCAGATGGAATCATGCATGATCTATACCACATGTTTAACTATCTACGTCTGCCCTGACAAGGGCAATTCTAGACTTCGGTTGCAATCAGCAGGACCGATGGAACTCCATACATTTTTTCCCTCCGCCCCCCCCGCGCCCCCCACACCCTATTAATAACAGTGACGGATATTTCATACAAAATTTTGCAATGATATGCTATCACGGAAAGTCGAAGCAAGCAGTGTGACAAAGATGCAAGGAAAATGCGAAATGACAGAATTCCAGAATGCAAAATCACATTAAAAGCCAGAAAGTTGAACACTGCCCAGAAAGCAGATATGCACTGATATTCCACCAACGGAGAACCAAAGCACCAAATCCAAATGTCAATGAGAGCATATACTCTCGCCTCCACCAACGTACGTATCCAGAGCCCTTCCTCCTACTTGGCGCTCAGCGCCCAGACTACGACCACACAGCTACAACCAGACTACGAATTAACAACGCAAACTGTTGACGTCAGCAGCAAGAACCGAAGTACATGAAGATGTTGACCCTGTAGACCATCGCCAAGACCACGTATGTGCCCTCACATCATCGTCCTCATCTGTCTCTACCTCTCCCTCGTTTTCTTCACCCACGTCCTCCTCCTCATACACAAAGACCACCACCACCGGCTATGTCCAAGCCAAGCTCGGCTACGAGGGGCTGGCGATGGCGCTGCCCTCAGCAGCGCCCTACACCCTGCACGTCCGCGGGCACTTGCGCTAGCAGCTAGCAGCAGCACGCGAGTGCACGCTCCAGTGGGGCTGCCGCTCGCTCTACCAAGTACCCGAATGTCTTCTTCCTGGCGAGCTCTTTCCTATATGCAAAGTGCTCGCCCACTTTTGCAGCTGGGCCGGATTGCGCATGTGCCCTCTAGCTTCATGTCGGGCCAAAGTGTCTGGGACCGAATTGGTTAGGCATGCTCAACCACCCAGGCACAAATGTGTGGTGTTCCCTGCTTCGACCATGTTGCTGGAAGAGCCTGGAAGGCTCACGAATATTTCCGATTCTCACGAGCAAGGCGGGATGTAACCAACTGGCGCGTGACTACCAAGATTGACTGCGAGGCTGTACACTAACCGGTAGGGTTAGATTGCTAATTTTGTTTGGCTGAGGGCTAACCGAGAGACCTACCTGTAAGGAAATTTGTGAGGGACATATCTGCAAATCTGGGAAACTATCGGCCCAGTACTAACTCGAATTCCTACAGCTACCCTAACTGCGTATAGCAGGCCCGGACTACCCCTAGGACAGATGGCCCTAAGCGGCCTATGCTGATAGACGTTCCTATAGCCTATAGCCAGGTCCGGTAGAGGCCGAAAGGCCGAAACAGAAACGGTACCGGTCGGTCAATCAGTCCGGTCTAGGTCTAGTGTAGTCTATAGATAGGTTAGGCCCATCGGTTCAGGACTTTTGGCAGTTCATTTCTCGCGAAGCAGCGTTGGAGAAGCCAAGCAAGTTGGTGACGGTGTCTGTCTGCAGGCGGCATCCTGAGACTTCGCCGTTGACAGCAGCCATAGCCAGCCCAGTCTAAGTCTGCCATAGCTGGGGCATCCTCAGCGCATCTACCCCTGAGGGTATCTGCGTCTGGCCGGGCTACATCGAGGCTCTACACTGTGTACTCGTGGGTGGTGGCAGCCATAGCTGCATGTTCCTTCGTCAGAGTTGTCCATCAGCACTGAAGACTTCATCGCAGGACCTGTTCTTCATCAGGGTGGTTGGCGCTGGCCTCTGGGAGGCCATTTGGATGTGGCGCTGCTAACTGGGTGTAGGATAGAGAGTGGGGTGTGAGTTCTGAGAGTGGCGAGATACTGGAACAAACTCTGTTACGATAATTGTTTGARWTGGCTCAYCATCAGTGTCATTTCAATTGTTATCCTCGCAGGTTCCTCTTSYGATTGGTTGTTGGGAGTTTGTCAGAGAGAGAGAAACATTGTGTGTTCTCTCCCCATCTGTGCATAGYTGTATTCCRCTGCCTACTCTGATYTGTGTGCAGTGTGMACTMTGTCTCCTCTCCCCCTTCTCTTATGCATGTATGGGCGTGTATGAGATTGTTTGTGTGTGAGTGGCGGTAAAAATCGTCAGACAACCAAGATCATAACAGTTGGTATCGGAGCGGGATTGGAATTGGAACACTGAGGGTTGAGCGCACTGAGGCATCTTCTTCATCTGACGAGATACTGGCGAGAGCTTCATGGCATTCATCTTCCCCAGTACTGAGTCAGCAGGGAAGAAGACTTGCAGCGGTTGATTCAGGTGTTCAGTGTTTGCACTGAGCAAGCGCACTGAGCCTGTCAGGGCGCTTGTCAGGAAGTGGAGAATACAGGGCTAATTCGCCATAGCCAACCCTTAGGGTAATATTGCGAAGTACCCCAGAGTGGCGAATTACCCCGAAGACATCAGGGAACCCTAAGCGGCATCATCCCTCGGTAGCGCTGGCAGAGATTGACACAGTATATCAATGTCCAGAAGAAATAACCCCATTTGGGGCTATTTTTGGAATCAGCGGCTACCAGGCACTGTGGCGAGATATTTTCTTGTTGGCTGTATGGGCGCCACAAGACCAGATACAGTGCATCTGGAGTGAGGGAGTGCAGCGCTACAGGATCCTGAGGAGGATCAACAAGTTTGAAGCAGTTCTGTGCGTGGGATTATCAGGAGGAATATCTGGAAGATATTGGCGAGATAAGGGTCATCATCTGCCATAGCCAGATCTTCATCAACACCCGCAAGATTCTTTGAAAGTGAGTCCGTTCCATGCACCTACCTGCATAGTGATCCAGATAGGATTAGATTAGCGAATTACAATGGTCTATTTGTCTGTCAGTGACTGGATGTGAAAATCGCAGACTGCATGACAACCATAGTCATCTCTCCCCTACCTCTCTCTGCTCATTTCTAACCTTCTGGTGACTCTTTCTGATCCAAAAGTGTTATGTGACTGCTTTACTGCATTGCGATTATTTTGGGATGCTCAAATTGTGAATTCTGCATTGGAAAGGTAGTGATACTGTGAATTCCAGTTTTGCGCAGAGTCTATTTATAGCCTGTGCTAATTAGGGTCAATCACCCACCTATTCCAGTGTCTGAGTTTTGTAGCGATTCCAGGGTGTCTGAAGGAATCTGAATATCGCTGCATACTCAGGTTGCTGTTTTTATTTTTGGCTTTATTTTGAAAAAGGAAAATGTATGAACAGGGAGCTCAGCAGCAGCCACAGGTGGAAGTGGTGATGAAGGTGGAAGGTCAACAGCCTTCAACCTCCACTCCTCCTCCTCCACCTCTGACTGCTACTCAGCAGGAAAAGGAGCTGCAAGAGCGGCTACGACGGCAACAGGACCGCCTTGCAAAGTTGGAACGTCAGGAGGCAGCTGAGCTAGAGGGTGCAACAGATTATTCCAGAAGGGAGTATCTGTTGCAGCAGCTAGACAAGGTGCTCTCAGATGACCGTTGTCCACAGGTGACTAAACACCTGGCAGAGATGATCATCCTGGAGCACAAGATCACCAGTTCCCACTTCACGCACTGGGATGATCGTTTTAATCTTTTGGAGCGTCGGGTTGACGACCTCGCAGCTCAGCAGTCTAAGATTCTGGATGCAATTCAAAACCTTACTGCTCAGTTGTCAGCCGCCAAGCTGATTGCCCCTCAGCTCCCTTTGCTAAAACCCAAACCTTCTCCTCATTCTACTCCTCCTTCAACACCCCCTGGTCGGTGCATTCTTCCCCCACACCATCCCATTCCCAAAAAGCCTCAGGCAAAGCCACCTATGTTGTTGTTACTGCAGGAGATCAAAGAGGTCCCAAGATCCCTGCTCCCAACAAGTTCAGGGGCGATGACCCCAAGACCGATGTTGGGGACTGGGCTGCTGGGACCAAAGCCTACTTGAGGGGCTTTGTCTGTGCAGAACAGACCAAGGTGGCGACTGTTCTTGGACTGTTGGAGGGACCTGCATTGAAGTGGGCCACTTCCACCTCCAACAGTCTGCAGCAGTCCATGGAGGACTGGGCTTTTGGGCTTGGGGTGGACAAACTTCTGCAGGCCTTGGAGGACCGTTTTGCAAACAAGGAGCGGGCCCGCAAGGCTGCTGACAAGATTGCTCACCTGGGGCAGCGGCGGTACAGCGGCACCCTGCGGGCCTTGTTTGCAGAATTTGAGCAGCTTACCTCCACCCTTGGGTTGGTCATGTCCACCGATGATCTGCTGACCAACTTATGCAGGGCAGCGCCTGAGAAGTTTGTTGTTGCATTGTACAGCGCTAGACACAAGGACTAGAGGTCCTTTGGTCGCGCACCCTGGACATGGAAGCAAAGCTTCATGTTCAGGCCCCATCCTCTGACAGGAGGAAAGGTGCCTTTCCTAGAGGTGGTAGAAAGGGAAAGGCAGCCTTCACTCATGCGGGATCTGCATCAGGTTCAGATTCAGATTCCCAGGTTGATACACCTTCAGCTGGGACTGGATCTGCTGCTGATACAGATGTTGCAGCAGCCCTGACTCAGGCTGTTTTGGGAGTTCGGCAGCAGCAGAAGAGGTTTTCCCCCACCACAGCCTCAGCCACTGCAAAGGGAAAGGAAAAGGGACGCCGGCCTTCCTCTTCCCAGCGCCCTAACTTGCCCAAAGACGTCCGGATGCCAGCTGACCCCCTCAATCCCTCCACACTACCCTGGCATGACCTCAAGATCCAGGAGGGAGTCTGGAGAAGAAGGAAGGAGCGAGGGGTCTGCCTGAGATGTGAGGGACAACACTTCTTGAAGGACTGCCCTTACATGCCAGGCCCAAGACAATCAAAAAACAGAAACAGACCTTGGGGACTGCAGTTCCCCCCAGTGCTGCACCTTCATCTACTCCGGTAGGTGAATCTGCAGCTGTTTTAGTTGAGACAGTTTCAGATTGTTTGGGGACCGCGCGGGCAGCATCCTTCTGCTATGAG